TTTTTTACGAGCTGTATTTCCTCTAGTTAATACGCAAATTTTAGAGCCGAAAGATCGAGGAAATGGTTTTTACGATATAATATAGGTCGTAAGCCCTACGAAGTGACGGGCATGCATTTGGAAGACATCCATATTCCTTTTTTAACCCCTCTTTATACTTGGTCAAATATGTTTATTTGGAAGAGTACTAGAGCATTATTCCATGTTTCTTTATTAAAGGAAAACACTTCAGATTTATATACCATAGGCTGTGAAAAAATTAAAAGAATTATGGGAATTATATTAAAACAAATACTAAATCAGTGAACACGTTATTTTTCCTTAATAGAATAAATAGAGTAGGGGATTATAAATAATTTATCTTCGAACCATCACCCATCGTACTTCATATGGATCTTAAATCAGTTTCGATTAGGATAATCCGCAACTTGTTTAGCATTTTACGCACTGATGGCTAAGTTGCTTACAATTACTCAGACATTAAATTCGACATCCATCGCGTTCAAAATACCTTTTCATATACTATAAAAAACATCGAATCGTATTACAAATTCAGGCCCCACTTTGGTATCGTTGACGATTTGCCTTGTTGCCAAATGTTTGTAGTCACGAGTAACCTCACCTCTGAAGACCTGCACGAATCAATATGTCAATGGCTTAACTGGGATTGATGTAGATAGAGCTCTAAACTAACAAAATCGATCAGGTGAAATAAATCACTAAGATGAGGGGAATAAGCTAAATTCCTCCAGCTATCTTGCCTATTATCTCTTATATGCAGATCTTGAACATTATGGAAAGCGCGTGTAGAATATTGCGGGACGCTTAGCTACGAAGAATCAGAAGTTGCTTTATAAGTTCTATAGACCAATCTTTCGCCTAGCAGTAATGCATCCGTGGCCTGCATAGTTAAGTTTTAGACGAATCTTTCGGACATCTAATATTGAATATATGCCCAGCAACTTTTACCCACTAGTTCTACAAGTATTAGAAGGCAATTTTGAGTCAATAAGACCTAACATATGGGTATATGTTTATTTCGCATGAAGTACAGTGCATATGCACACAACATTATACCAGCCTTATCTGGATAGATGATTTGAACTAGAAAAGAAGGCATGCACGTATAGAATGTCATTGTCTACGTTCGATTGCAGTAGTCTACTTATTTTTTTCCTGAGATAAAACAGGCCAGTTAGCCTAGACGAGTTAGTATGATTCGACATTTCATTTTGAAGGAAGATTTGGTTAAAATTGGAAGACCATTTAGCCTTAATGGTAATTTTTAGAGCAAATTGAGTGCAAACAATAGTAGCTCTATGTTTAATAGAATTAATCATTCATAGAATCCGACCTGAGGAAGTAGAATAAAATCCAAATACTGCTCCTAGAAAAAAAAATTTAAGGCAAAGGTACATGCAAATAAAATTCAGTTTAATGTTTTGACTGAAAAATCTTAAAAGGAATCAAAGTGTACACAAATATATTTTTTAAAAAGAAAGAAATAAATGATACAAAAAATCAAATCTTGTAGTTCCTCAGAAAAGTGGGATCCTCAAGTAAAACACTCTCCTTCATCTCAAAAGGCATATAACCTTAATTTTAGGGTTTATAAAATCTTACCAAACTGTCGAGATCGCTTAATCAATTGGCTCAAGCGCTTTTGCATAGGAATGCAAAGTTGAGTGTATTTTCTACCTTTAATCCTACCCGTGTAGGGAGAAATAAATTGTGAAAGTAATCGCACGTTCTGAAATTATTTGAATCAAAAATATTTACTTTGTAATCGAGATCAATATTATGCTCACATATAAAGCATAATTTCTTCTTCGGTGTGTAAGGATTATCCATTTCGATAGGCTATATAATGAAATAAAATTTGCCTACCATATCAAGTTCAGAACATTTAGAGGTAGAATAATAGGGTTTCGCGAGCAGGAATGAGGAGCGAAGTTCACCAAAAGCACGAAAATAAGAGAACATAAACATTTGAATAAAGCGGCATAAAAGAAATAAATTAAACGCGTACAATGTAAAATAAATCTAATCGCAAACATTCATATACAATAAATTATAATTTTTTTGCAAAAATTCTTATTAACAGAATGAGCATATTTTTTTCATATCATTAATTAGCCGAATAGCAAGTAGATTATTAATAAATATTAGATATTTTGTAAAAAACGCAATATATTATTGAACTATATGGAACACCAAATCCGCATAAAGAGCAAATTACTTTAATCCGAATCTTTATTCTTACTGCATGCACTTTTTTTAACCAAGCTGTTATACTATATAGAAAAACGGTTGTAGTGCTATCGAAATTTTGTAACATATCCGAATTTACGAGAAGATAAACCAAGGGTGTGCTGCAACAAATCTTCAGGCATATACATAGAGAACTCCATTTGAGCCATGTGAGTCTAGCATATGAGTCCCTTCTAATCGCATGTTTAAACGAGATAAATCAAACTTAAACGCGTTTAAAATGTTTTTTTAAGTTTATAATTATATTTGGTGAACGATTGAACTATCTTAATATAAAATCAATTTTTATTACACCTGATGAAATAAGAAATTGTCTTAATTGATTTCTGCAATTCGAAATCAGGACGAAACTTACAGTTGTAAGCAGCCTCACTGTTTTCTAAGATCAAGTGCATATTTTCTGTATAATTGATCTAATTCTTTTTATACCTAAGAATATAACGAAAATTGGCCACATTGTTTACTAAAATATAGATAAAGTATTAAATTTAGATATATAGATTAGGATTCGAATAGACTTTATAACAGAAAATTGTGTAAAATAATAGCCTATTTATTATGAAGATTAACTGTAGTTCGATAATATTTTTTGCGATACCCACCTATGATAGGAGAGGAATTAAACTTTACGTAGTATTTCAATAATTAGTTGATTGAAATATTCATTATTGTCCTCATTCGACTCATGGCTGATCAGTAGACTTCTTTTAATGAACCTTCTAATATAGCATCCCTTAGGAATTTCATTTTATCCCAAAATGAATTATGAATAGTTTTGTTGTTCGATAACACTAGAAGAATTCTTTCGGTTACGGTTAGCAATTTGGCTAAATAGACTATTTTCAATACAAGTCCTCATTTGTTTTGGTAAACACGAACAAACTGGTAATGTGATATATATACTCAAACCTATGGATCATTTTTGCAAATGGTAAAAGAATATAGCGGACTTAACCCAGCCGTTTATATACAATATATAGATATAAATAGAACAATTCGATCAATTATCTTTAATATCAATAATGGTAACTGAATTTTAGGGCTTCTTTCTGTATGTGCCTGTGCTGTAAATCCTATATGCACTAATTGCCATAACTACAAAATATCCTAGAGCTAGCATTGGGTCACAATGGAGTAACGACATAGAG